ATAGGATTCCAGAGAGGGAGATATGTGGGGTGTGAATAAGAAGTAGTTTTTGTTAAGATAGATGCTAGAAAATAACTTAGGTGGTTTAATCTAATTTATTTTATACTTGGACCACTACTACTAGCATATAACAAGTTCTGGCTGCAAAGACTTTGTTAACAGAACTACCACTATCCTCGAACTAACTAAACCTTCAGCCAGATACCTCAAATACTACCACTGTAACCAGTACAGGTACTCAGTTATTGGTTTTGTTTTATGTTTTTGTTTCAAGTATCGCTTTGATACTTGGTTTGTTTTAAGTATCGTTTGATACTTGGTTTTGTTTTGTATTTTGTTTTAAGTATTGCTTTGATACTTGGTTTTGTTTTATGTTTTGTTTTAAGTATCGCTTTGATACTTGATTTGTTGTAAGTATCATTTGATACTTAGTTTTGTTTTATGTTCTTTTTTAAGTATCATTTTGATATTTAATTTGTTTTTACTAAAGCGTATCGATTAGATCCTTTTGATTAAGTTTCATTCATACTAGACATGCACAGATTGTGGATTTAATGACCGCCTGATTCTACGATGAAAACAGCAGACTTCGACAGACAGTATTTTAATATACTTTGTTGAACGGTTACCTTTTGTTACTTAGTACACCCTCAAAGCCTCGTTTAATTCTCAGCTCTCGTCTTCTCTCTGGTAGAGCAGGCGACCTGCCAACTATCATACCTATTACAGATAACATGATTGGCACCTTGTGAACACCATACGACCATATTATGACTATACAACAGATAATGACATGTTAGGCTGAGGCAACCTGCTGAGACTCAGAGTTACCTTGGCGAACCAAGATTTGTTTCTGTAGATAGAGATTGTCTAGAAAGACTCAGAGCATACTTATTTGGTTTATGGGTACTAAGAGTAGAGTGAATTATATAATGTAGACTAGAATTGTAAGAACAATATTACATTGTTAAGATTTCTTTTCCATTGCTTGATGATGTCTAAAAGCTTTGGACGCACTTCGATATTAATTTTTTGTATTCAAGTGCTCATGGACTACATCTTTCTATTATATAAACTATGAACCTCTCTGGTTTTAACTCACAATATTGGGTATTCTTCAAAGGTACGAATACCTGAAGATACTGAAAATCACCATACTCTTTTCGGTAATTACTATTTTGCTATTTAGGAACTATGCTGTTTCCAATAGTAATTATTCAATCTTCACAGTCATTAAACTTGTAGCATAATTCTACAGTCCAAATCAGTTGGCCCCATTTGGCTCTCTTATCAATTAAATAATCAGTTTTATCTGCATGTTCTATTTGCAGAGGTAGTCGTAAAGTCAACCTTCCTAGGTTGCCAACTTTAAACTTGTAGAATTCCGAATCCAATCTACAGATATCTTCTGGATGACTTGCAATTAATTGGTAAGTAGCCATTCTACCAGATTCGCAGATAATCCCTCTATCAGCTACCTTTAGTTGCTCTGGGTAACAGCGTTTCAGTTACAGTTTTAGTATTGTAAATTATTTCTGCAACTATAATGCATTGCTGAGCCCAGTTGTAATATTTCCTAAGGTCCATTAACTTCTGAAGTAGTGTTTGTCTGAGATCTAGACTCTTCTAGTTATCATAGAGTGGGTGCAAATGTATTAGTTTCTTGTAGAGATTTTTTAACATCCAATACCATATATTTGTACAGAGAGGTCCGGTTACTTAGGGAACTTGTCAAAGATGATACATGTTTAAAGCCTAGTAACACCCTAAGTAGTTGACAGATATACTCCGTTCAACTTCCCAGACTTAGCTGTGGATCTCCTCTCATGTACTCTGTGAGCAGGACCTAGTCAGATGCACTGCAGCAATGTATACATTGTTATACCTATACCTTAAACTCTGTAATATTATAGTAACAGGACAAAACTGAAATAGATATGTATGATAACATGTGGGCCCTGTGAGCGGGCCTGAGGGGGATGTTGGAGACCAGAGATTCCAATTCCAAGTGAATTTATCTAACTTAAGGTGGTTCCTAGGTATCAGATCCCAGTACTCCTAACATTACAAAATCTTTAATAGTAAGCAAAATCATCTACATTGAACATCTGTAGATCCTCTGGTATTGACTCTGCTTAGGGCTTTACTCAGATAGAAACAAACATTTTGTCCAGAATATCAAGCAGAATACCGAGCAGAAGAGGAAGAAGGTTGAAGAAAATAGTCCAGAAGAAGAGAAAGTCAGGGGTGAGGGGATGATGGTGGAGATAAAGGGAGGTGATATTTAGCAGGAGAATGTGATTGGTGGAGTGAACTGCCCTTAGGAATCTGCAGGTATAACAGGTTGTTACAAATCCAGTATGGTTTATAAAGGATTTTATATGTTATGGTGTTAATTAACAACTTTTTAAGTTGTGTGATATTATGACTATGGTTTGTACATATGATCTGTTTCAGGATTATGTGGGTTTTGCATATAACTTAGATTTTAAGTCATAATCATTATATTATGTTGGGATTGTTAGTTGGATAGGATTAAACCATGTAATGTTTATTTGAATTTCACATACATGACCTGTTTGGGAGTGATGGGGACTAAGTGAATAACCTAGAGAAAGATTATGAGGACAAAGGATTATATAGTCATATGGGGCACAGCCATAATCCATATGACAATGGGATTTGTAAGTGCATTGTAGGAAGGTCTATATAAGACAATAGAATCAGCCTTTGAAAAAGATTTTCACACAACCACCTGAGTCTCTCTTACTCATATATCTTCATCCCATCTCAGACATAGACATTCTTTCACAATGGTGTCTCATTATATTTAAGGTTTCTCAGATTGGTAATGGTCCTTCATCATTCTCCTCTTGACGGTACTAGGTTTTTTGTCTTCTTTTAATGATGGATTTGCTGGGGTCTTCTCTATATATTGTGTTGCTTTTCTTACTTGTAATGAATCTTGCTCCAGTGGTTACTCTGCTTCAGCTGAGCCCACTTGGTGGTCTTTGTCAGTCAATCAGTTAGTCTGTCAGTTTAGTTGGTTACATTCTTTTATAACTATTCAGAGGCCTGAGAATACATTTTACAGTATGTGATTATGACACTTCTATCCTGTTTCTTCTCTTATTGGAGGGGTTGGTCAGTTCTTCAACAAACTACAGTCCATTTCACCACTCTCTTCATGGTCAGTTAAAGTTGGTGGGATTCTTTCTACTAAGTGATAATATTTCCCATAGAACATGAGACTACATGAAAGACTCACTAATATCATACCTGCTGATGGTGAGGCCACCTAGAAAGACATAAACACATTTCTGATAGCATTGTTACCATGATTAGATCTACTCCTCTGGCCTGCCATCTATCCTTTCTTCTTTCATCTCCATTTAGTTTTTATTTACTGGTAACATAGCTACTGTGGAGGTGTGGCAGTTGGGATGTTAGTGAGATTATTGAGTGGCACACGAGGAAGTATTTCTCTTGTTGAGAAGGAGTTGAGAGATTATATTCAGATGCTGGTAGTGCTTGTTTGTTTTGATTTAAGCAACCTGTTGATATTGGTTATCTCATTAGCTTTAAGTGTCAGCCTGGGTCTTAGCTGAATGCTGTGTTGTAAGGCTTCACTTCAGAGGAGCACATGATAAATGTTGTAGACTTAATACAGGGACTGTAGTTGGGCCCCCTCTTCATCCAGTGATGGAAACAGACTCAAAGGAGTCCTCTCAACAACCCTCTCCTTCCCCATTTCCTTCAATTTCCCTTCCAACACAGCAACATACCCTTCCAATAAAGTCAAACACTATCATTGTAACGGTCACCGAGTACTGTACCATCAATTCATGCTCTACTCTGGTACTCCCATTCTGTTCCGGACTGAGAAGATGGGTTGAGATTGCTCCAGGTTAGGTAGAAGCAGTTACGCCTCTCCTGCCACTCAACATCGCTTTGATATAACATAGCAAGTGAAGAATTCTTTTACCAAGAGAATGTCTCTTGGGGGCCGTAGGATGTCTGGAAACCTGACCGTTCACCTCACATTGAGTAGTTTAATTGTACCGGATTCCTTTATCGTCATCGTGGAACTACTCGTGAATTGTAAATTTAGTATAGCGCTTGAAGATTAGTACAGTACCATCCAATTAACTTGCAATTTCTAATACTTTGAACATTCTAAATCCGAACCACCCCCTCCCCTCTCTCCCCACTAGTTCACACTCTTTTCGGGTTTGGGATTCGAAAACAGGTTTCCAGATTTTAGCGTGAAAGGATGCCCAGACACCTACAATAAATTGCTTCCAGATCCCTGTGGGAAGTCCTCCACTGTGATATCAGAGTATGTGATATTTATGATTGGTGATGATATGTACTCTAGGTGGACCTGCAACGTAGGCGATTATGGTCACGCTAGTCCAGTGAGTACTGTACTGTACAAGTAGCTACCGGTATTCTAGTGCATGTGCGGTACGAGCACTAGTACAGGTATTTGTTAGGCATCAACACCTAAGTGCCTGAACCCTGATCACCCGGCATCATATCGTACTCGACAAGTATAAGTACAGTTGTGCACAGTTGTGTGTAGCCTATTGCAAGGCAAGCAGAATTGTATGTGGCCCTTTTCTAAGACCAGCCTCCCGAAAAAACCTTTCCTTGCCTTTGTGTCCTTCGCCCCCATGTTCGAGTAAGTGTACGTATCGTATCCATACGTGCACTGCGCCAACTCCTACTTTTCCAAACTTTCAAACTTCAACTTGCACATCGACTCCCCCACCTCTCTACCTTCACGGACACGGGCCTGCGTTCATTTATCCATCCATCCGTCGGGGTACCGCCGCTACAACAAGATCTAATCCTTATCTCCATCTTCACACCCACACATAAAAGAAAAGAAGAAAGGGGAACAAAAACAGAAACAATTTTACCGTAATCTCTATCGTCCCGTTAGGGGGGTGACTCCTCCGCAGAACCTCCCCGTGGGCTCTCTCAGTCGATTCTGAATGTCGCTGCTCATCTATACAGCCCATACTGGAGGAACCCTACAAGCTGACCGCCATTCCTTCACCTCGTACGTTGTCCACTCCATGTGGTTCTAGAGCTTGCCCCCCCCCCCAAACTGACCATGTATGACTTATAGCGTCGACGAGCTTCGAAAATGGATAGGCGAGACGATATCTATGGCTCCGGCCTGCCAGATCATCATGACGGCTCGAGGGACGAACGTGAAGAATCAATCGCTTCCCAATGAGGTCTGTTTCGCCACCCCTGAGGATTTATTCTATCCCATCGAGTTGCTAACCCTATCGGGCTACAGAAAGAGCTTTACCTCTTTGATCGCAGGCTCCTCGACGCCTCTTCCTCACCCCCGACCGAACTTATCCCCAGACTACAAACTCCATCTCCCTTTCCAACCAACCTGGAATCCGAAACTGAGTTGTCATCGTGGAGAACGTTGTTTAGGAAACGCCTCGCATGGTCCGAGTCTGTCCTCTCGCATGCGCAGAACCTCGCAGCGACCATCTCAAAAACCGACGCATCGACAAACGTCGTTCAACTCAGTGTCCAGATCGCATTCTCAAACCTGGAAGTCCACTCGCTTGGATTACAGAACTCACTAGTCAAATTGCAGGAGTGGGCGGAGGGCGTGCTGGTTCAGCTGGACCGGGTGTTTCAGGAGTGGGAACCGGCCCTAAAACGCTTGGTCCGCATTCCCGTCCATGATGAGGTGAAGAAGTATGGACAGAATGGATCCGGCAAGGAGAGGAAGGTTTCTACCCTCATGGACTTTTTCGAGGTCAAGCAGGTTCAGACCGCCGCTGTTGCGGCAAAAGGTTTGGCGCAGCAGTTTGAGAAAGAGGTCACTGATCTTGGGGGTACTATTGAGGAGATTTGCGCTAGGACGGCGGATCTTAAGAGTGATATTCAGAAGGCGAGGTGGGTTTGGTTGGTGGGTTGGCGTTGTCAGTCGTGTGAGCTGACCCTATCATAGGACATCAAGACCACGCAATGTCCTCGAAGAGATGAAGAACCTGTTGGGCGAGATTGATATCTTGGTCAAAAAAATTAGAACGGGTGTGTCCCTTGGGTTGTCGTTCATATCAGCCCTTATCTGCCCTGCATAAACCCGGGTCAAGACTAATGGAGTGATAGACTATGAGTACGTTCAAAGTTTACAGGGCCCGAAATCGGTTTCTACAGCTTCAAAGCGAGCATACGCATCCACCACGGATTATCTCCCTGGCCTGGCCAATATTGTTAATGATATGGGCCGATTATTACAAATAGCGGTTAAACAGAAGGTAATTAAGGATCCACATTCCACCAAGGGTCTGTGTCTAATGTTTGGATGTAATAGAACGAGATTAGTGCAACAAGTGTAAGGCAGCTTCAGATAGTCGCTTTTGTACAATCACTCTCCGCTCCCGTAAATCCTCAAATCCAGAAGATGGACTCGGCATATCAAGAAGAAGACGAGCACCCTCGATTACTCTCTCTGGTCGTTCGGTTCCCCAAGATCTACGGAGCTCTGCTCGTTGAATGTGTGCGGCGAAGGGAATGGTCGGAGAAGTTTGCCAATGATAGCAAGAGGATAGCTGAGGAATTTGCATTATTAAAAGAAGACGAGGAAAAGAGACGTGCTCGGAACAAAATTCCGTCTCCTACGTGATATAACATTATCAG